ATAAAATAGAGAAATTAAACTTTTAGAATCACCTTTAAAAACTATGGTAGTAATTTATTTACTTGGAGATGTTTGGAGCAAATGCTCTTTTTCAAGCCAGAAACAAGCCTGTCAGTATATGTATATATACATCATAATTCAAATGTACTATAGCTATTTTATCATTGTATGGCAAACATAACTATAAAACATTGATCTTACTAGTTTTTAGATGTTATAAGGTTTCCTTTTGTTTCGTATAGTTGTATTAGTATCATATCTGCTCCTGAACTATCATATCTAATCTACGTTTTTTCCCCTGTGATAATTTAATTTTATTGTCACTACCTTGGAAAGTATCACTAATGTAAAATATAACATACAGTAACTTAGTGCATTGATTTATTGAGAAAGTGATAAGTTCAAATGTATCAAATGAAGGCAGCAGGCCAAACACATACACTTAATCAGTTTTCAAATGAAAGTTATTTATTTGTTATCAGAAAAACTGGGAATTTCCAAAAACATGATGTTATATGTATTTTCTTTGTTCTCTAGATAACAAGACTTTATCTTCTCTTGATTAATTTTGTATCATTTCCTTGTTAGAGTGTAAGTGCTTGTTGGCCAACTGAAGTAGTTAACCTGTTTTTACAATCATCTTTATAATGGCATTCAAACACGTCAGTTATGTACCACAGAAATATTTGCATACTTAGTTAATTTTAATACCAAAAGTAATTCCATCATGGGTGGGCACAGAGACTAATAGAATTTTTACACAAACAATTTGAAACAAAGACAGTGAGCTTTAAAGATCTTAAGTGACATCTTGTCATGGATTAATAATTAGAATTGTGATTTGTATGATGGTTGCATTTGACAAAGTAGCTTGCTAACTTATTTGAACAGTGATTATTTTCAATAAGTTGCTAAAATAGTCATCAAATACATCATGTTGGCAGGTAGTAATTCAGAGACTCTAGAACAGGGTGGCAGTGAAATAATGCATTTCTTAGCTTATAAAGATCTGTAATGTGACACACCATGTCAGGTTCTTTGTGTTAGTGAGTTGTTAGTTTTAATGGCTGTTTATCTTGAATACCCTTTCAATCCTTGAGATAAAACACATGAGCTATAAATATGTGAACTTTATATATGAAAATAAAGAAAAAATGTTTCCTCTTCCAGTACACATCTCATGATTTAGCAAAATTTGTCATTCTACCAATAGAAATTAAATGATGCGGTGCAAGTACACAAAATGTAACACTAAATTTACACTAGAATTTTGAAAACTATAATTTAATGGAATTTCTTTTCCAGCAAAAACAAAGAAAAAAGTTGCTAGAATGTCAGGGTGTACACCTAGTTCTATTGTTTGTAAAACAATAGGATGAACTCTTAATCTACATTCATGAGACAGACATACGTGGGGTGTTATTTTGTCTTTGGTCTAGTAATTATGCTGCACATGGTAACTAAAAGCTTGTGTTGTCTAACTATATATAGACTATGGCACATGTTTCAAATTAACTTCCTTTTTTTTACCCCACAATGACTCACAGACCAGAATTTTTTTTAAGATAAAAAAAGCTAACTAGAAACGTATATCTGGCATGTATTCTAATTTTATTGCCTGCAGATTTCACATTGCATGATCTTAAATTGGCAGACATCTTAATATGTTATTTATGTATAAAATGTTTTTTATATTTCTAAAAAAATTATGCATAACTTTAAACAAAGCCATAAAAGTACTAAATTTTCAAAAGTGATGCTAAAGTGGATTAATTTTTGATGAGTATGCATACACGTGTGCTTTGATTTTTTTAAAGTATTTTTTCAGTTGTTGTTGTTTTTGAGCACTAGTACAAGGTTTGTGTTTGTTATGGGATTTCAAATAATTAATATACAATTTGAAATTGTTTTGATACATGTAGTTCTAATGGTAATTTTCTGTAAATTAATGTCTTAATGTTAATATACCTCTTCAAGTTTATAGGACAGTTCACACAGAGTGGATAGTTGGTACTAACAGTTGATTCATGGTTGTTAATTGGTACTGATGGTTGACTTAGAGTTAGTAGTTGTTATAGACAGTAAATTCAGGGGTGGCAGTTGGTACTGATAGTTCACTCAGTTATGATAATTGGTACTCCTGAGTCAACTGTCAGTACCAATTACCAGTCCTAAGCTAACTATCAGTTAGAGTCAACCATGAGTCAACTGCCAGTATCAACCACCAACTGTGACTCAACTGTCATCACTAACTACCAGCCCTAAGTCACCTTTCAGTATTGACCAATAACTTTTAGTCAACTGTAAGTACCAACTATCATGACTGAGTGAACTATAAGTACCAACTACCAGCCTTGAGTTAACTATCAGTACCAACTACCAATCCTGAGACAACTATGAGTACAAATTACCAGTCATAAGTCAACTGTCTATAACAACTATCAACCATGAATCAACTGTTAATGGTAGTTAGTACTGATAACACAGGCCTGCAAATGTAAACTTCATAAAAGTTGTTTTGGTTGAATAATGGATTTTCCATAATTCAGCTAAATAGATTCCAAAAATAATATCCATTTTTTTTTCTATCACGTAAGGATTTGTTACAAATTGGGAAGGAAAAAAAAAACTCTTACTTAAATCAAATTATTATTTCATTTACCACAATGAAAATTTTTTACTATTATGTTTGTTAACAAAAATACAAACAAACTGAATAAAAGGAAGAACATTGATGTCAAACAAATATGCATCCTCATTCATTTTGTTTTTTTGTATTTTGTATTTTATTGAATAGTATGTATTTTGTTTGACAGCATGTACTTTATTTGATAGTATTTATTTCCTTTGGTAGTATTTACTTTATTTGGTAGTTTATACTTTACTTGGTAGTTTGTATATTATTTGATAGTATGTATTTGGTTTGATAGCATGTACTTTGTTTGATAGTATGTATTTTCTTTGGTAGTATTTACTTTATATGGTAGTTTGTATTTTATTGGATACTATGTATTTTGTTTGACAGCATGTACTTTATTTGGTAGTATGTACTTTATCATACTAAAATAAATACCATCAAATAAAGTACATACACTCAAAGAAAATACAAACTACCAAATAAAGTACATGCTGTCAAACAAAATACATACTACCTAATAAAGTATAAGCTACTAAATAAAATACATACTATCAAATAAAAAAATACATACTATCTAACAAAATACATAATATCCAATAAAATACAAATTACCAAGTAAAGCATAAACTACCAAATAAAGTATATACTATCAAAGTTTGATAGTATGCATTTTGTTTGATAGTATGTATTTTATTTGTTAGTATGTACTTTATTTGGTAGTTTATACTTTACATGGTAGTTTGTAATTTATTTGATAGTATGTATTTCCTTTGGTAGTATTTACTTTACTTGGTAGTATGTATATTGTTTGATAGTTTATATTTTATTGGATAGTATATATTTTGTTTGATAGCATGTACTTTATTTGATAGTATGTACTTTATTTGGTAGTTTATACTTTATTTAAAAATAACCTGATGATATGTGATGCTGACTTTATCATACATTGGTATTTGCTATTAATGTTTGTGTTTTAATTAACCAATGTGATGAAACATTACTATAAGGTTCCTAATAACTTTGTTAACTGAAATTTTAGCTGCTCAATATGTGTCTCGGTTAAAATTAAAGCCTAGAAAGTTTGAGGCTGTTAAGACTGAGAATGTTTAGCTCATTATGGAGTTTTAACAAGTGTACTTTAAAACCATTTTATCTAAACTATGCTTCAGATGAAATGTTTCAGCTCTTAACAGTTGTATCATAATGCCTCATCAGTGTTCAGTCTGAATAATTGAAGTTCCTTCCAGATTAGTGTATGTATACTTGACCTTTAGTTGAAGTTGTATAAAATTATTTATATCATTATTATGTCATCATAACATTTGTGAAGTATTAATATATTTATGTATTTTGAATTTGTTCCAGGCCAGATGCCTTGTGCTTATCAAAATTAAAAAACTTGTAGAAAAAAGTACTTATTTAAAGTAATTCTTAGTGACCAAAACCCAAACTTATAAAAACAAAGGAATAAGTATAAGTTTAAAGATAGAAATAAAGATGTACTTACATTTGATTTACATTACTTAGTTACATTTAATCAAGTATTATGAAAATAAAGTATATAGCTACTTGCTGTTCCATCATGTTAGAAATCTAGCTGTAGTTAATGTAAAAATGAACCCCAGCTGTGAAATGTGAAATATATACTTAACAATACCATAGCAATTTATGCAGTTCATGATTTGAAGCTTTAATTTATACTTCTTGTATAAGTGTTTTAAATAGCTATTTTAAGTCTTAATATTTTCTTATTTGACCATTAACTTGAAATGATAGTGAAACTAAACCACATTAAATCTATAAATTGTGTTAAAATTAGAAGGATTAAATAAATAATGTTTTTTTTTAAATGTTTTAAAAAGCCACTGTCAGAGAGAGAGAAAGTTTTTTACAGCTCTTAAGTTTAACTATGTTAATCCCTCTTTTATTAATTTAACAAGGTTTCTTACTAAAAGATAAAGATATATTGTAGTGATTATATGTGTTCTCCCAACTAAATACTGTCTCTTGTGCTTTGCAGCCGGCCTCCCTTGGAAATTCCATGCTTAATGTGAGTTTCAGGATTTTGTGCTACAATTTAAAACTAATATAAAAATAATATTTTTAATTTTCAGTCTTCCACTAACATTTTCCTCCATCTCTCTCTCTCTCAGTTCTGTGGCTGTTTTCTGTTGATAATGCAAGTTTTTCTATTAATATGTGATAAACTATGTGTCATGTAGAAGATGGAACAGCAAGATCAAAACAAAATAAAACACCAGTTACATTGTTTTTGGTGTGACTTCATAGTAGTGTTGTAAATGAGTAAAAGAGTTAGCACTAAACTGAAACATTTTCTCAATGACATGAGTACTGTCCTTTCTTCAGCTGAAGAAGTTTTGAAAAATATTTTTGAGTGTATTTAGTTCTAAGTTAAAACATTTTTTGTCATATATGAATTACCATAACTGAATATTGTTGGAATATAAAAACATTGAGTAGGTTGAAATAAAATTTTCTATAATTTGTTTAGTTTTATTGTATGTTGAATTTGGCTTTGCCATTAGAATATTGGGTTGTGGATTAAAAGGTTTGTGGTTTGAAATGTAATGTTGTTGGTTAAACCCTATATTTTAAAATGTAGGCACATTGTAAAAGTGATGGTCACTCCCATTATTTGGTTCAAAAAGCCTTATTGGTGCTGTTAGCTGGTTGTCTTCCTTCTTTATTGCATTTCAGTATTAAGGATAATGCTATCTGAATATTAGGATCTCTGACCTGACCCTTAATCCATGTGCATATAAGGTGCCTTTCAAGTTAAATATTCCAACTCCAAGCTTTATCTTTATGAGTCAAAATTTTTTTCTGACACTTAATCCTTAGTGAATAGAAGAAATTTTAATTTAAAAAATTTCCAAAATTCATAAACACCTGCTGTGAAAAAAAAGGAACTCCAAATATTTCTGCAGAGTTGTGATCTGCAAACATCTCTTTTATTAAAACAAGGACTACATGAACAATGCTAAATGTTTTTAAAATGTAAAATATTTTAACAGTTACTTGCTGGTACAGTTTTCTGAAAATAGATTAGTAGTAACTACTAAATTATAATAAATAGAAGGAAATGAATAGGATTACAACAATCACTGATATAAAAGCAAAATTTGACTACCTTTGCACTAGTATGACTTTATACTGCAGGTTGATGCACATCTTATGTTTAATTTGAACATTTTCTGTGCACTAGACTAGAAAATCCAGAAAATAAACGAATATTGATGGGAAAATTGTGATTTAGTTAAGTAGATTAAATATGTTTTATGTGGTTTCTAGCAAGTTGTTCTAATGCAATAGTGAAACAACAGTTGCATGATTGTGCACAAAAAGAATTGTTAAAAAATCACAAATTAAAAGATGCACACCTGGAAAAGAATTGGATGACAGCACATTCATACTTTTTCTAGAAAAATATTCTAAGTAAGCTTGAGTGCTGAATCTGTATTAATAATTCAGGAATGAAGTTTTTTGTTTCAATTAGTGTGATTTCTTGAATTTGATCAGATTTTTAAAGGTTGAACACTTTCTGTGAGAGAAAACAAGAAATTATACTTTTTATTGTAGAATTTATTTCACTATTTTAATTTGTAGTATCAAGTTATGAGTGTCCAAAATTTAAAATTAAGAAATAGTCGATTTAATGCATTTTTACACAGATTTAGGCACTTGTTTATTAATTTCAGAAAAGTGTGAATGCATTATTATTAGTACACCTTACGTTCAAACTAGTTGGCATTTTAAGGAACGATAACCTATCATTGAAGTTTGTAATAATGGAGAAAAGTTAAGTAGCATTAGCCCTAAAGTCATTTTATCAACTTGTTGGTAAAGCTGATGAACATTAGTAAAGTAATTATTATTGCAAAGTATTTGTAAGAAATATACATGCTGCTATCGGTTCAAAATCTATTAAACATCAATTTTGTTTTGAAATAAGCAAGTTTAAATATTATTTTTTTTAAGATGCAGTTACTTCCCTTACAATTCTCCATGTGATATTTTTTTCAGGGACAGAGTAACCTTAATTTCTTAACTTTCAAAACTCATGATTAACATGAGAACTAGAAAGTAGACATGACCAGATCTAAAGCATAACAAACACTGGTTTACTAAATATAGGACATATCATATAATGATTTGAAAAATATGAAAAGATTAGAACACAACTACCAACCTTCTCATATGTGTGATCAAGTGTAAAGTAAAACATTTATTGTTCTGGTAGATATGATCAACTGGAAAACTGTACAGTTAAGTTTTTGTTAAATGTAACTCTGTTGAAAACATAACTTTTAGTCTTGTGGCAGATATGATCAAGTTAAAAATACTTTTGGTGATAGCAACATAGTTTGATTTCTAAGAAGTGTGAAATTTGTTTTTGAACAAAAGGGAAAATTAATATTATTAGGAAAGACACTATATCTAGCTTTTTAAATAGTGTTCCTTTTACTTAGTGTTACTAGTTGCTGAAATTTTCGTACAGAGGGATTACTTAATTTTACTCAGTGCAGTTTATAATTATATGTTTTAAAAGTAAGATATCTTGTTTAAGCTAAGTGAAAAATCCATTTAGTTAAGCAAATGATTTAGGTCATGTTTTGTTTGTAAGAACTATGCTGATGCACTGTACTTTGTACTATTCAAAACTACCTTTGTACATGTGATGAAACAGAAATGAAACCAAAACCAAATGGAGTAGTTGTAACAGAAACAAAATGACTTAATGTCAGGCTGGGTTAAGAGTGATAGCTGCTATCACTGAAAGCTTGTTTACTTGATGCTTGTGTAATCTTTGTTTTTGTGTATAGTCTTGAACATCTTTGTGAAATTAAGCATGCCTTATCTATTGTTACAAGAATGATTCATTTTCTGAGGCAATGTAAGTTAACTAGATTTATAGCCTGTGGCTTAACCTTTGATACTTAATGATAATTTGGACATGATGCTAAAAGCTCAATATCATGTGAAGAATAGACAGGGTGACTATCAGAAGTTAGAGTTTAGGAGACATACAAAAACAAAGATTTTACAGAGTTGACTTCTTTATACATACATGTATATAAAGAAATAATATGTACTATCTAGGTCACATTTTAATTATGAATATTTGATAGTTAATACATTTTGTAAGATATAAATTACAACTCAGCCTAACAATAAGTTCTTTTTTCTTTTTTTTTTTACAGCTACTCAATTTGGCTTCTTTGTTTATATGTTTATATAAAAAGTAAAGGAAGCTTTGATTTTTGTAGGGTAACATCAGAGAAGGAGTTGAGATTAAGGACCAAAGGTTTACTCAGATGTAGACATTGGTTTAAAAGTAATTTTGTACAGTTACATTGATGTCTATTTTTGTGTGTTTGTAGTGATAATTCAGTAGTGCATGTGTTTTCTGTGAAATACTAGTATGTCCTTTGGTCACTTATGGTCACTTCAGTACTACTGAAACATGTGTAAACCATAGTTACTACAGAGTGAAAATAAATGTGAAGAAAACCTGGAACATTTAAATATATATAAAAGATGAGAAATATCTGTGGAACAAGAGGGACAATTGGATTAGCTGAAAGACAAACACAAGAAACAACTACAAAAGGTTTAAAGAACGAGGTCTTACCATGAATATACAGAAATGAAAAGCTTAAAAGTCCAAAGGAAAATAAAAGAGGATGATAAACATATTGAAGTAATTGGAAATACCTCAGTTATGATTAGTACTATTGATCTGATGTTTAGTAAATGAACTGTAAATGAGTGAAACTGACTTAGGTAACCTAAACCAGAAATACTAGTAAAAATATGAATATGTATATATCTTTTTTAGGTCTTCAGAGCCCATCATTTCATAGACTAAAATTGATTCCAATAGAGAAAAGTCCTTATTTATTATTCAAGGCCAGAATTAATGGTATTTTTCAGTTACTTCAAGAATACTTGATGTCTACATTGGTTGAATTTGATCTGTAGGTGCTGTTGAATGTAATCAGGAATGTGAAACACCTATATTTATTGGTTTTCAAGACAACCAGGTTTCTTTGGGATTTTTTACATTTAATGAGCCACTGAGGAAATTAGTTTTTGTGCCATTACCTTGCATTTTCATGCATCCCTTTGGGGTCACTGATTGTTATAGTGGTCATTGTCAGGTGTTGGAAAATACTGGAAAGTTCTTATATTCTTCAAAGACTTCAGTGAGCTTGAACCCTTATCTTTAAGCTTTCTTCAATACAAGTAGTGTAGTTATACTTGGATTTGTTTTATTTTTTAGAGAAGTTTTTTTATTTTTGTTAAATTTTGACCTATTTTTTTATTCATGAAAATTTCTTTGGTTTGAATTTCATTTATTTATCATTTGTTATTTCAATAGCAACTAGAAATAACTTTTGAACTTAACCAAGAATGGACTAAAAGAGAAATATGAATAAAATGAGTTAAAATATCTTTAAGTGTAGTCTTACTATTATTAGAACTCCAAGATAGAGAAATTTAGGTTTCAGTTTTCTTCTAAAGTTTCATTTAAAGTACTTTTCAGTATCTGGCAAGTTAATATGCAGATCTCTGTTAACACATTCACTGATTACTTCACCTCTGTGTATAAGGTAATGTGCTTTAGTTAACAGTTATTCAGATTTTAATTTATTTTTTCAGTTATCTGTTCATGTGCATGTTGTTATGTAGAACTACTGCTATCATAACCTTGTGATTTAAATATATCACAGTATAAAAGGGTTCAACCTTGGACCCTTATTTGAGATACAAGTGTGAATTCTAATATAACCTTATTCACCCTGATCTGTTATTTCAGGTGTTTTATAGAATATATCAATTTAGGCCTTAACACACTGCTTTGTGTGTTGTGTTTTATAGAAGAAATTTTTTAGGCTTCAAACCATTGTCACAGGAATTATGTCCCCCCAGTAGGACCGCAGTTAGTTTATGGATTTACAATGCTTAAACCTTGACACAGCAGATAGACCAATGTGGAATTGCTTTAAAACAAACAAAAACCAAGCATAGGAATTGTATTTTCCAATATAGATTTTTTTAAAGCTTTGACATATTGTTTTCAATTTTATAATGTAGATGTATTTCAGCAATGAGTTACTATTTCACAGGTATATCTTGTATTATGTTCAGTACATATTATTTACATGTTATATGTAGATGGTGCTGTCCGACAGTAAGTGATGTACACTATATATTATTAATGTTTTCCTCCTAGCTACAAGTGATGTGATATTATAGTCAATGACCTGCATTATATATTGTTAATATCTTGCTGTCATTTTTAGGATTTTACATTATATATGTATATCTATATACAGGAAATGATGCTTAGGAGAACACTTGGGGAAGAAAATCCTGTTGTTTCTAAATCCCCAACAGGAAACACTATGGACATGACTCCTGTTTGCACGACAGGCATGGACCCTTTTTTGGGAAGTTCTAATCAGCATGCTCGTCAAGGAAGTGAAGACAGTGGACTTGGACTCGGTACCAACTGTAGTGTTCCTCACACTCCTGAGAATTTCCTTGGAAGTCTAGAGGATGTGATGGATGGTGGAGGTGAGTATTACATAGCTTAGAACATTGTTTCTTGAAGAACATTTAAAAGACAAATATCTTTTGGAATGATTTGACTGTGCTGTCTGAAGTTGAGGAAATCTGAGTGCAGGGCATCTTAGCAAATGTTGACAATGCTTTATAAATGTGTTTTTAATGTTCGGTTTTGTCATGATTCAGTTAGCTTCACAAAATTTAATATTATACACTCTTCTAATTCTTGAACATCCTTAAGGTTATAAATAAAGGATGCAGTGTTAATATATATATATATATATATCTTATGACAAGTATAATTAATTAAAATTTAGTATTGCTTCATTCTGTTGGTTGAAAGGAACACGAAAAATATATTAGGAAAACATGCTAAAATGCATAGTTGTATATGAGCATAAAAAAGATTTAAAGAAATATATGACATAAATGTGTGTGTGTGTGTATGTACTTATTTTTGATATAAAATCAATAAAATGTGAATTAAATCTTTACAGACATTGGGCAACAGAGAGGAAGTGATGTTACTATGGAAGTACTTCATAGTACAAATCTTAGCCTTGGAATTGACAGCATGGATTCTGATGACTTAGTGCCTAGCATACAGGTATGTTTGAACTTAGTTTTTGTGTTTAAGCATTTAGCTGATAGCAAAATAGTTGTTCATTTTAAATAAATAATACCTTTACATACCTTGTTAAATGACTTAAATTATCATTGCGATTGGTTTGTATAACTTCCCTGATGCCTGTATTAGACTCAAGTTGTTTGTGGTTTATTAAAATATATAATATGTTTTTTACTTGTTAAAAAAATTCAGAAGTTTTGTTGTATCACTCAGGCTATTTTAAAAGTACTGTTCTGTAACTGCTGCTCTGTGTTGTAACCTTATCTGGGGTATTTTCCATAGTTGCTGAGAAAAAGAGATAAAAAAAGTCATCACCTACGTTAAGCACTTTAAGATAAAATCTCTACTTCTTTTTTTAAGAACTCGTTTGTGTGTTTTTTTTTCATGTAGAAAGTGAACACAGAAAAAAACAAGTGTAATCAAATTGAAACATGCTGTTTTTAATTGCTAGGAAAATTAAAAACGTTTTCTTACTTTCCTTTTCAGGAAGAAATCACAGAAGAACTTCTGTCTGATATGGAATCACTTTTGACCTCTAACAAAGACAATATACTGACATGGTTGTAACCCTTAACTGAAAAAATAACCAGGTCAGGTGTGGTGACATTTGTCCATGTTGCCATAAAGACTCATTTTTCTGTCCAGAGAAAGTTCATTTAACGATGTGTATGCCATTTTAGTATAAAGTAATCATTACTTTAGGATCATATTGATTTAAAACCACATGATTTTATAAGCATTTTGCTCACACATAATACTGTCTTTTCTGGTTGTTTTTTTTTACCATTATTATTAGTATGGGGAGTAATATAATAAACATGAACATGAATGTCAAATTCATTGTAATGTAAATATTAGTACCACTTTACTTTGTTTTTGAAAAAAAATGTCTAAATCTAACAACTTGATGAACTGATTCCAGAAATGCAAAATATTTTATGGAATTCAAAATAAGCATTAGATATATTATAATCTTGAACAAAATCCTACAACTACACATCCTTTAAAGTATGTGATGTAATGTACTTTCTATATTCACCTATGATGCCATTAGAGGTCTTGTAATGTAGGTTGAAACTTTGGGGATTAATATCTAGAAACAAAGAAAGAAGAGTGATACTTTCAGCTAATATGTTCTTCTTGCATCATATTTTTTTATCATATAAGAGAAGGAACTATTGAGAAAAATAAAAAAGACAGTTGTACGTTTCACTTTTTTTTGTGAAACGTGCAATTGTCTTTGTTTTTTCTTTGATTCTGTAATTTTGAGTTTCACTAAGTACCGAACATTTCAAATATCACTTACAGAAGGAAGCATCTTAATCTACCACACTAGTTGAAATCTTCTGAAACTTTTATTAGAAGTAAGATGTGAATAAATCATTCTTGACTTCCAGAAGTGTGCCTTATTCAACTGCATGTTGTATACCTTCTGCTACTTTTATTGGAATTGGTTCCATATTAATTAATACACATGCACTTAGATCTAAATGGTGGTTTATCTACAATACGTTAAAGTGTTTCAAGATTGTGGTTCAAGTGTAGAGCCTGGATTTTGTCTGTTAATTGACATCTGTTTAGATAATATTTATATAATATTTTGCATCCCAGTATCTCAAATGTGTCATATTAAAAGTATGTGACTAAATGTCTCTAGGATACATGACAGGCTATGAAAACTAAATCTTTATGCATAGCTAGCATTGCAGTAATTCTATAATTTGTGCTTGATTTCAGTGTGTAAAAGTTTTTTCTAAGGGTTTACAGTAATTGATTTTGCCAAGATTAATTCTTACTGTTGTAAATAAAATGTCACCCCTTTTCTTTAACTTTTAAAATCATACTGAATTAATTTTAGTTTCTGAAGCTGTATAAAAAGAGGACCTATAAGGAGTAAAGAACTTATACGGAAGTTCATTCTGTAGTCAAAACTTTGTTATTCAGTTTTTATATAATCAGCCGATCTCAAAAACTGTAAGGTGGACTGGTCTCAAAACAACCATAAATATTTTGCCATACATTTATTTTTTGGAGTGTCTTACATAAACTTAGCAATGGAGGGCAAGTTCTGGAATATATATATATATATATATATATATATATTACTGAATACAAGTGCTGTTTCTTTCTGCCATGAAGATGTTTATCTAAATGCTTTAGTTCAAGCAAAATGACCTATAAATTTCAAAGCCTTGTAAATTGAAACTCGTTTTACTCAGCAGTCCTTATTTTAAGTCACTAAGGGAAACTTTACTTATGCTATTTGATCTACCAAAAGGTAGTGTATTTTTATTTCCTACAGGCCTTTTTTGGAAAACGTTAATAAATAACATAAAAGAGGAAAAGAAAATGTCAATGGGTACCTTTGTATTTGTGGCCCTCCTTTGTATTGTAATCATCCATTTAATAGTTATGGTGTGCCATTTGGTGACTTAAAGTAGTACTAGTTAATATACCTTGGTATGGTGCCTGAGATCATGGTTCTATTTCCTAATTGGATAGTGCAATTTGTTATGAAATGTAAGATTTTTCCGCCTGATTATAACTTGTGAAATAACATGTTGTAGAAAATTGTATTTTTTTATAACAACTAGCTTATGTATTAGCAAAGCTATGTTATTAAACATTCAAGAAATGTTTTAAAACAACTTGCAAAATGCACATAGGGTACCTTACAGACAGAAAGACTAACCTTGTCTTGTTAGACAACACTGCTCTTTGCTTATTGTTTATACTGGTAGTGAAAGAAGTGTGGAAAATTTACCAGTTGATGTAAGTGCATATTTTGGGTTTTGTGATAAAGTTAGGCATAAAAACATTTTAATGTTTTATGTGTAAAAAAAATAAAAAAACTCATAGTAATGAGTAGCAGTGAGACAAGATATACAAAAAAAAGAGTTTAGTCTTCTGTGTTTTCAGTGCTATTTTTGACTGACTCAGGAATTTTCTTTGTTGTCTCTTTTCTTATTAGTTGTGGAAATAAGAAAAGGAATGTTGCTTTCAATTGTCATTATTAAGACCTATTTCCACATGGATGTAAGGATATTAATAAAACATACTGTTGCATGTGTTTATTATATTTTCATAAATGAATCAGATTTCAAGTTAATCACAAGGTTATATCTTGGAAGTAGTTTTTGTGTGGTGTGACAACAAAGTTAAAATGTTACTACAATAACTACATATGTGACTAAATCTATTATTGATTACAGTCATTGTGCTTTAAACGTCCAGAAGAAGTGACAGGCTTGTGTACAGTGACCTGATTTATTCTTGTGTAGTCTTTATTCAAAAAGTTCAAAATTTTACACTTTTTCTCATTAAATTAGACGTGGCAGCTATATTTTTTTTATTTATAAGGTAAATTTATTCAGTTGAAGTTTATTTTGTAAACAGCTCGAATGTTGTGTTTTACTTGGTAATATATTTACCAATCATAGTTTTATCCATCCAGTTTTTTTACCTTAAGATGCATTTTATTTCTGTTCACACAAACACAATAGAGAAAAATTCGGTTCCCATTTTTATGTACCATCTTTCTCTGATTTATTTTTGAAGAACACCCATATACTTATGTATTATTTTTACTTGTGAATACCGATTTTTTTTACCACCTGATTCTTTCATACCAAGACCACAACTATATCAAGGCACTAGAATTCTTCATTGTAATACATTGGGATGACTAAGTTAATTACCTACTTCCAGAGAATTTTTTTTTCACAATTATATTATTTGCCTGGTGTTTTATTGCTTGTAATTTAATCTCTTTTTATGTGAAGCTATAGTTATTCATTTTAAATTGTCATATTGTTCTTAAATTAATATTCTCATCTTTGTATTGTTTTTCTCTGTTTGTGGACTCTTTTTAAAATGATATTGTATCAGTTATTCTTTTTACCAGAAATGTAATGTAAAAATTGTAACAATAATTGTTTTAGTTACAACCATAGCTCACTATTAAGGGTGAGTGTAAAGTTTAATCACAATACTGCAGTCATTGAAAAATGCATCATCAATATTTTAAAACAATGTACAAAATTGTAACAATAATTGTTTTAGTTACAACCATAGCTCACTATTAAGGGTGAGTGTAAAGTTTAATCACAATACTGCAGTCATTGAAAAATGCATCATCAATATTTTAAAACAATGTACAAAATTGCCATGAATTAATATTTTTATCTTTAATAATTAACAGTAACAGTTCTGCAGTATTACAAACAATCTTTTCTGTGTGTTTTATTTAACATAAATTATAAATAACAAATTTAAATGGGAGCAGTAAATCAAGGTATTGCATTCTTCAATAAATATTAGTGTAGAATGATAATTTACATGAGCGTTTACAAGTTTACAATTTGGATTGTAGGCTTATTCACATAGAAAATTATATCAATGACTGTTTGTACTTAAAATTGAATATTTCTTTTAATGATATTTTTAACTTCTTTTTTTTTTGGAAACTTAGCAAAGGTGGTAGTTTGATGGTTATCTAAGATAACCAATACATCTCATGAATTTTCTGTTTGTTATGGTCAGAAAATAAAGGATCTTAACAAAAAATAACATAAAAAATTGGTGTGCCAAAGTGAAGAGAAAGTTATTGGAGTAATTAGTTATCCATATAGACTCTCATTAACCTGATTGCCTTTAGGTACACTATTGTGATAATGATAACTCTGTGAAGGGTTCAGATTTGGGTTTTTGGTTGCCTGTGTTTTTGTGACAAGTTTTTTGTTGTTGTTTTTTTTGTTATGGTGAAGGAATTTTGCATGTTAATCATTCTTGTCCTGTGGATAAAAGTCTATATTTTGGTAGTTATATTAAATACATGAGAAGTTGCTTTTCAAATGTAAATACTGTCATTTACTGGCCATGAAATTAGATAATAAAATCAAGAAGTGCCTTTAACTATTGCATATTCTGTATGTAAATAAAACAGAATATAATAATCACTGTGTTCCAGAGTTTTTTATTCTGCTTCCATAGTACTAGTGGCTATTTGATCTAGTATCTTAATGTACTGAAGAAAATGACTATTGTATGTGGAACTCATTTCATTATTGGAATAACGGAATATTGTTAGCATATACATTACGATAAAAGATATTAGTATTGAAAACAATCTATCTCTACATATACACATGTAAAAACCAGGAAGGAATGTTAAACTCCAAATGCATGATCGTTTCAGTAATGATATAGGTTAAAAATAAAAATACATGCAAAAATTCAAATGTATACATCCCTGCTTAGATATAATAAATAGGACCAGATGGACTTATCCAATTTGCCCAACATCTGACTATAAATTGATATAATCAAGTCATCAAATAGGCATGCAACTCCTCTTTTGTACAAAATATACACCATTCTATAAAATGAACTGTGATGGGGATTTTTTTTAACTTGTTTGTTGTTGTTGTTAATGCAAAGCTACACCGTGGGGAATCAGACCTCAGATTTTAGCATTGTAAGTCCATAAACTTACCACTGACTAAACAGAGAACTTGTTAGTAGTAGTACAGAATATATTCATTAATCTAAGTAATACCTTAGATGAATATCATGCTAAGTAAGTTAGTGTAATTAACTGACAGAAACTTTGAACTTCAGAAAATGTTTATATTATTCATCATTATGTTTTATTTAAAATGAACAAAAGATTCACATCACAATATTAGGGAGAAGCAGCAGCAAAAAAAAAATATAACTTAAAGATTTTGTTTTCCCAATGCTATATATATATATATGTGTGTGTGTGTGTGTAAGAAAAAATGCCTCACACAGACAGGGAACTATAAGTTATGGACCTTGATTATAATTGATTAATTAATATTAACTTCTGATGAAAACAAGCTACTTACATGGATTAGAATTAAAATCAAACCAGTTGTTAATTGTATTGCTAGTGTTCAAGTTTAGCATTTCTGCTTTTGAGGATTGTTGTTATGTGTACCATGTAAACTGCTGCAAGAAACATTAGTAGTTTAAGTGACTTTATTTAGAGTGTTAATTGCTTGTAACCTGTTATTAGACAATTTGTTGTTCAAACATAAGTTTCGGAATGAGAAAAATGTACTTCATTTTTGAAGTTCATCAAATTTTCTTCATATGAGTGCAGATTCACAATAAAAAACGACTTTTTTGTGTTACAGAGAAAAAATAATTTGTATAAGTACTCCTTGAATTTATTCAACCAGTAAAAATTTTGTCTGTACAGTCACGTCTAATAGATTCATATCAACTTTGTCTTTTTTTAAGATGTAAAGTTATTGATGTACAATTCAATACAATAATTGATCCCATCAAAATTTGGAGATGCTTGTTTGTGTAATTGCTGTAGAAATATTATAAATACCTAGTTATGCTGACATTGGGACCTTTGACCTTTATTGACCATACCACCATCTGACTTTGTTTGTCATTGGCTTTTATATCAGCAATGGATACAATATTCATTTAATAATCTTCCTAATAACAGCTAACACAAAATGATTTATCAGTGCTGGTGAAGCCAGCAGATGGCATGCTATTAATGTGTTATTTCCTTTCTACCAGCAACTAACACAGTACTAGCATGACTAACGTTTGTAATAGCAGCTAACATAATACTAGTATGATTCTATCCATTGTACCAGCAACTAACACAGTACTAGCATGACTCTAATGTTTGTAATAGCAGCTAACATAATACTAGTATGATTCTATCCATTGTACCAGCAACTAACACAGTACTAGCAGGACTCTAATGTTTGTAATAGCAGCTAACATAATACTAGTATGGTTCTATCCATTGTACCAGCAGCTAACACAGTATTAACATGATTCTATTCACTGTACCAGCAGCTAACATAGTACTAACATGATTCTATCCGCTGTACCGGCAGCTAACATAATATCAGCATGATTCTATCCACAGTACATCTGATAATATTATAAACAATTAAGAGTTTGAACTAGTTTCTGTGGTTAAAATGAATCTTAAAAATAGGATTCTGTTAGTTATTCAGAATAGGTTAAGCATATATTTGGCACAGGAATTGTGCAAAGCATTCCGCATTATAAAAAAAAAAGTTTTATATCGCAATTAATTCATCGACTTTTTTTTCAGGTTGGAATACATTACGGTTATCAACGTACCTTTGTATCAGAAAATTTCAGAAACTAAGTTTAAAGAGTATACAACTTTTAAGCATACATTTAATCCACAAGTTTCGTTTTGTCAGTTGTAAGTTAAAGACCGTTGTGGCAGGCGTAAGCGGGATAGGGTTACAAAGAGTATATGTCAGATTAATTCTGTTTCATCCAAAGTGTCAAGTGGCAAACGTTCCTTGTCATAAATTTTGTTAATAAACAGTAACCAAACGTTGGCAACACATCTATAACTCCTTTTTGGGTTCGTATTTCATACGAGTTTTGATGCTAAACATGACACAGAGTAGGCTAGATACATTTATAGTTTCCATTTATACCAGAACTGAGTATATCTGCATAATAAGTAAAAATCTGGAATCGAGTATACAAGTGATACTTATTGTACAGGTTCTATTAAGTTTTTTTCGTTCTCTTCCGGAATTAAAAAAAAAAAAGATTTATGTACTCAACATTTAGATAACTGTTAGTTTTCAAAACATGACTAACAAAATATTTAAATGTCGTTTAGTCTTTTGAATGTCAAAATTTTGTTTTCGGTTCTGCTGTTTTTGTAAATACTAATAAAAGTCTTTAACACGAAGTAACTAGGCCTGATTAATTTGTTAGTTCCATGTATCTGAGAGTTGTAGACGTAGTACAGACTAATTCTTAAAAATACTGGTGTGATACGATGATATATTATTATCAAATGCGTTAAGGCTTGTATGTTTTGTAGCTAAAACCTGGTGAAAAAGAGCATTGTATATCGATCAGGAGTTCCACACAAATTATTCTTCGTTTGTCGCTGTGTTTTATGCCTAAATCTCTGAAAAAAAATTGCTTAACTTCGTCTGATATCTCGTATATCTTATTGACAATACAGGTGTTTTGTATACTTCTATTTCTTAGAAATTCTGGCAGTTTTCTATATCTAATTAATCATCAGTGTACCACGCATCCGTATGCATGCATATGAGTAAGCATGTGCGTATTTATTTAGATACATATATCAAGACAATCAGGCTAATATTTTCACATAGTTCCAAACGTAGGACTGTGTATGCAAAAACAGAAGTATAGATGACGAATGTTAACACAGCTAGTCAGAAACTTCTTGAAATATTATATTGTCAGCAAATACCCAAAGTCATCATAAGTACAAACATATACATAACAGTTGAACATATTGTATCTGTCTATAACATGTAGTGTATATTCAGATATTTTGACATGTATGTAATGTATCCCCAGCACCGAATGGGTTCTACACCTATCACGCAGTTTATCCCTAAGACTGTATGGGTTCTATATCTAACATACAATATATCTCTAGCACTGTATGGGTTCTATTTCTAACACTGAATGGGTTTTATTCCCAATATGCAATTTATCCCTAGCACTGTATGGGTTCTATTTCTAACACTGAATGAGTTTTATTCCCAATATGCAATGTATCCCTAGCACTGTATGGGTTCTATTTCTAACACTGAATGGGTTTTATTCCCAATATGCAATGTATCCCTAGCACTGTATAGGTTATATTTCTAACACTGAATGGGTTTTATTCCCAATATGCAATGTATCCCTAGCACTGTATGGGTTATATTTCTAACACTCAATGGATTTTCTTGATAAAGGGCCCACGATTTATTGTATAAGTTATTTTCTTCATATTTTTGTCAAAGTATTTTGTTAATTGTTATTCACTTCGTGGTAGTTCTTCAGCCGTGTGTTTAGAGCAGTTCCTTAAACTTCGTAACTTTAGTAACATTTTCTTTAAAATTTTCAACTTAAAACAAATTAGTATAGAATATGAGTTCAACAATGCTTACACAAAACTCCACATACAAATTAAAATGAAAGGCGTTAAAATTAAGCATGCCATGAATTGAACCTACAGCTATACTAGATTTTGTTCTGGACATTTGCTTCCAACAATATTAGCAACACCAGCTGAAAAGACTGCAAATAAAATTTCGGGACGAGAGAGGAAACTTATGTTACTATTTACGCAGGTTAGTAATTTAACAACGTCATCAAATTTAATACTTTCTTCAGTCACCCCTTCTGCATTATCCTGTTTTTGACTAATAACCAGGATAATGCTTATTCCAGCAAAATTTTTTGCTGGTTTTAGCATGGTAATCAAACCGATATTATATGGATGTCTACACGTTCACATTTATAAAAAGAAAAATTGTGGACTTCAATGACGTTAGTCATAACTTGTCAAGCTGACGTTCAAAAGCTGTTGGGCAGGTGGTTAGGGTGCTCGACTCGCAATCTGTGGGTCGCGGGTTCGAATCCCCGTCACACCAAATATGCTCGCCATTTCAGCCATGGGGGCGTTATAATGTGA